TGAATAGTAGACATTTTTACCCTAAAAAATGAAAATGATTTCCTTTCCTTTCATTACAATTTCCCTTCTTTTTTGTTTCACTCAGAACTATAACACTCATGTTATACTCCTTTATTGCGCTAAAAACTTAATTTACTTTAGTGCTTAAGCCTTGAACATTCCAGCACCCAGAATTCATAGACCATTTTCCTTGCCTTTGACGACGTCGTGAGTTAATCCGAGGCTCATTTTCTTTGAGAGTTTGAGCGGCTTTTTTATATTTTTCGAGTATGAGGGTGCTGGCCCCATGCCTCAACTCCCTTCCAGAATGATCGGGTAGTTTTCTTTTAGATTGAGTGTCTTCCCTTAGATTATCTTCCAGGACTCCGGAGTCCAATCTACCCCTATTTGAAGCACTTCTGTTTCAGAACAGGAAAAAAGGAATGGGAAGGATAAACATAAGGTTAGAAAACGGAAGCCTTCGAGCTACGCAATCCACCCATTTGCTCCCGGGCTTTAGGAAAAGATTTTAGGTAAGAAACATATCTTACATCTATGGACAGCGGTCAGCCACTCCTTCCTCGGTAGGAGAAACCAGGGAAAAACTGCTGCAGTCCCCACCCACCAGTAAAGGCGTGCAGGCCGATGGGGTCGCTATATCCCTACGCCATCTATTACTTTATCTTCTATAATAATAATAATAATAATAATTATTATTATTATTATTATTATTATTATTATTATTATTATTATTATTGTTATTGTTATTATTTAGATAGGATATTTGCCTCTCAGCGCCATTATTTTAGTTTTAGAGACAGATTTTAAGAGACAATGAGGTTTGCATATTCTATTTTGCTGTCACAAGGACTTTTTCTGACTTATTTCGTTCTCTTCTATAATTATATGGTCATCGGCATATAGAAGTGATTGTAGAAGTGTAATTGGATTTATCCAAATACTTGGTTTACTTAAAAGTTTCCATTCTCTTAGAATGTTGTCAATATAAATATTAAATAGATTGGGGGACAAGCTGCATCCTTGTCTTACACTTCTGTTTATTTCTAACTCTTCTAACACTTTGTTCCCAACTTGTAAGTTAATGCTTGTCTTGTGACAGAGGGATTTAATAACTTCTATCAAGTGGAAAGGATATCCCCTTTTTCGAAGAATCTGCCAGAGAAGTTCACGATTAACTCTATCAAAGTCGTTCTCACAATCTATACAAGCTATGTGTCTAAATTGCCTCTTTTCAATTATTTGGTTTATGGTAAACATTGTCTGTACATGATCTTCCTTGCCTGAAACCACTTTGTTCTTCCAATAGCAGTGTATCTGAGATTGTTGTGAGCCGTTTATTTGTTATTTTTGTTTAAACTTTATAAGCGTTGATCAGCAAGCTTATTCCTTTGTAATTCTGTGGCTGGCTTCTATTTCTTTTCTTAGAAAGAGAGATGACTTTTTCTTTCTTCCATGAAATAGGTATTTGGCATTTTCTCCAACAATTATTAAACAGTTCAAGAAATCTGTTCTTCAGTTCTTCATCTCCATATTTTAAAAGTTCAGCACTGATACCATCTACCCCAGGAGCTTTTCTATGCTTGGCAGTGCATATTCTATTTCATGTTTGCTCAAAGGGTCTATCTGAGGGTTTTTGTATTGTGACTTATGTAGTGGCGGTCGAACTGATCGAAATACCGCCACTACCGAAAGGGCTCGTCCGTGGCGAGGGAAGGTCCACCGTCCTGCCGGAAGGAGCTGTAAGGCGCGGCGAAGCGGAAACGCGCTCGTGGCGCCAGCGCGAGGTGGGGGGAAGGGGGCACACCACTCCTCCATTCCCCTCGGGCCAGCGGCAGAAAGGGGCGAAAGCTACGCTGCTTATAAGCGGCGTGCTCGGCGCTCGCGCCCCCATGTTTCAGCATTTCCCGAGTCAGTGGAAACACGCGCATGTATTAACATTTCACAAGCCGGGAAAAA